TACACAGTAACAAGTGGTTTTTTTATTATATGTATTTAATATGAAAGCACTTATTTATATTGAGGATCATACCATTTAAAAAGCACCAATGTTGTATACCATTAAGGTCACTTTGCACTAGAGCAGCATCACAGACAGTGTTAATAACTTTATAAATTTTTAAATCATCAGCGAAGAGAGACGATTTACAGTGCTTTATATGATTCTTAACGTCGTTTACAAATAGTAAGAATAGCAACGGTCCCAAATGAGATCCTTGCGGTACACCAGATCGCGCAATATAGGGAGTAGACTCAGCGCCTCCAACAACTACTGACTGAGGCCTGTTACGAAGATAGGACCTAAACCAGTTTAGCAAATTCTCTCCCATTCCATAACCACGAAGCTTCTGAATCAGTAACGCGTGACTGACTTTGTCAAAGGCATTGCTAAAGTCAGTATATATGGCATCAATCTGGCGCCCACGATCTAATTCCTGACATGTTTCAGTAACAAAAGACATGAGGTTCGTTTGAATTGAACGGCCTTTTCTGAAACCATGTTGCTCATCAACGATACAGCCGTCTAAACATTTGGAGATTACGGGATACAGGACAGACTCAAAGAGCTTGGAAAAACAAGATAAAATACAAACAGGACGGTAATTTTTTACGTCGGTGATATCTCCCTTTTTATACACAGGTACAACACGAGACCTTTTCCATACTTCAGGAAAAACACCATCTTTAAGAGATCTATTATAAATAATAGTTAGGGGCAAAGATAACACAAATCTACATCGTTTTACAAAGATAGGAGGAATCGAGTCTGGCCCAGCTCCTTTATTAGTATCAAGACCTTTTATTTTCTTAGATATTTCATCCTCTCTAAAGCTAAGGGACATTAGGCCGTCAACATTGCCAATGTCGTCTGGAGTGGAACTGCCAACAAGTGATTCATCACAAGTATATACAGATGAAAATTGATATGAAAAAGATTAGCAATATCAGGTGATGACTGGGCTGTAACATTGTCCATTTTCATGCAAGAGGGAAGCGATGAGTGACCACCTTTCCTATTTTTAATAAAACTCCAAAAACATTTAGGATTATTAGGAATACTTGCCTCAATATTTCGCTTATATTTAGTGTAGCAATCATCATAAAGTTTGTGACAACGTTTTCTAATAATGTGATACTCTATTTCGTCTCGAGGATTCTTGTATATTCGATACCTCTTACGTGTTTTTTCTTTTTCAGCACGTAATTTTATTAAGGAAGAACTGAACCACACCGGATACTTAGATTTCGTGATGGTCGTATTAGGTACAAATTTGCTTATTATTTATTTTGCTTATTATATTAGTGGTGTTAAGAATTTTGTAGAACTTAGATACCATATCATTAACATCATCATGGGCGCGTAGGCTATCATTCCAATCAATAGTTTTCAGATCCCCTATTATAGACACATAGTCAGCTTTATAAAAATTTAGTTTAGTGTTACCTCTCGTTCGCAAAAGGATATTTTAGAATATTCAAAACTTAACAATAAACTAGGATGATTCGCGTATATTTTACTTGACGAGTCGGAGGGGGCTGATACATTAATACTAGACATATTACTTAATACTAAATCTAAGAAACGATCATCGCTATTACCTATACTATTAAATTGCTTTAGGCTATTCATAGACATAAAATCAATCAAGGCAAAGCCAAGTGTATTGTTATAATTACAAGGTGTCATAAAAACTTCATTATTTAACGATCTCCAATCAATGAACCCTAGATTGAAATCACCTAGAATAATGACGTCATCGCTTAAGTTTAAAGCTCTGTCAACGCTGTCTAAAAAATGTGTCAAAGTCCCAATCTTTACAGGAGGAGGTAGGTATACTACACATATCGAAAGTTTCTTTATTATTTTATTAATATTTATATGTAAGGTGACCCATAAGTCCTCCACATCCGATTCCCATGCCTCAACTCTGAAAGAAGAAATTTCTTTGGAGACTCCCAATATGACACCTCCACCATCCGATTTGGTATTGGTAGAACTTGAACGATCTCTACGATAAACAGTGTATCTATTGTCAAATAATTCCATGTTTGAAATACCAGATTTCAGCCAAGTTTCAGTAAGAGCGATGATCCCATAATTAGAAGTTGACAAATATTTGAGAAAGCTTGCCGTTTTAGTTCTCAACCCTTGTACGTTTTGATAATAAATTTCAAGCATTGTAAAAAATCAGTGTGTTACTAGGCTAAAGATACAAAAAGCTTACAATCTAATATACTATGCTATACTATGTTAAAAGATTTAAGGTTTCGTTATTCTTAATAAGCAAGGCTTGGCAGTTTTCGTTCTTTCTTGTAAAAACTCGTCCGTTGCGAACCCATACAAATTTATACTGCTTCTCTTTTGCTTTCAAGCGTGTGGCCGCGTAAAGAGCATTGTTAACTGATGTTAGATGTTCAGATACAAAAATAGGTTTCTTAGTTCCTCCAATACCAAGATGATGAGAGTTCAATTTATCTTGTGGATTCTTCCTATTAAATTTGCTCACAGCAGCCAGAACAAAGTCACGTGTACACGGGCTACATAACTTAGCCACCACGGACCGAGGCCTATCACTGCTATTAGTTATTTTAGCAACCCTTGTTACATGCTGAATATCAACTTGAGTGAGGGGACAGTCCACAGTCTTGGCTATACGAAGGACAGTTTCAAATAAATTTTCTGACCTATTCTCAGGGATCCCATTAATCAGTATATTATTCTCCCGGGCATGTAGTTCAACAGAAGTTAGCCGATTCGTTAAGTCAGCCACATTAGACTTTAACCTGTCATTATCTTTTTTTAAATTCACTATTGCGATGTCCTTCTCCTCAAGAGAAGACTTTATATCCTCATATTGTCGGCTCAGGAAGCAGATTGTGTCCTGGAATCCAGCAACCTTTTCAGTGAGATTATTAAGTTCCGATGTCACCAATCGCTTAATTGTCACAGTGAGGACTGAAGATAATTCCTGTTGTAAGATATCTCGCAATTTATCTTCAGTGACATATGATTCTAGTTCTGGTTCTGGTAGTTGTGAAGGGGGTCCGTGTGACGGCTTAATTCGCTGCGTTACTTTATCAGAGCACGGAGGTTCACTCTCCGGACTTGCTTCTTGTGAGCTCATACTAAGAGGGCTTCCATCGGAATTTTCACAAGTCAGCAATGACGTCTTTGCATTGCTAACATTAGTCGGTTTCCTAGAGCATTCGGGACATCTAAATGACGCCTTTTGTCTTGCGACCATCTCAACAAAGCGCTTGCGGGAGACATTAGCACATACTAGGTCGTATTTTAACTTGCAGATATGACAGCATAAAAAATCCTTCTTTGGTAGCTCAGTATGACAGCTAGCACAACAATTTGAAGGCGCCATAGCAACTTTTAATAAAAAGAAAAACAAAAAAACAAGTGAGTTGCCTGGATTGGAACCACGTCACAAACTATATGACGATGTCTTGGCAGCGTTCTGCTACACTGAGCCGATCGGATAGTTGAGTACTTAAACTAATTTATTTTATGACAGCACACGAATTATGAGGCACGAGAGTCACTATAATATGTTCCATTTATATAAAAATACAGCAAGTATGATCGCGGGTTGACAAATATTAGGTCCTTACATATGAAATTGACGTCGTAATGGCCACTTTGACGTCAAATATCTCCTCTTTGGTTAGGAATTTCAAATTCAATATTTTACAGCTACTCGTGCATTTTTATTTTTTAAAAACCATTATTCATTTCATTTATCCGTTTTAATTTTTTTCTTTGCGTCATTCTATTTATAAAATGGAAAATATGCAATGTCGTGTTTTTTACGAGGACGAGTTTTACAGTGGTTTTTAATTTATTTCGAAATTTGGATGCATCTTGCAAGGTAAAAAATCCAAGTCTGATGGGGCAGTTGAAACCGCCTTCAAAGATTTTATTGATTCCCGTTTGAATGTTTTTTTTAGTAAAGGTATCAATGAACTACGTATAACATGGAAAAACTACATACTTTGTATAATTAAATATATCCTATATTATGAAAATCTACTTTTTGTTCCTCCCATACAAAGCGCCAATATGTGGGGACCTAATGTATATAACACTGCTTTTTTACTGTTATGTTTGTTAAATTTGTTTATAGTTTTAGTTTGATATCAAATAAAACATCATATCAAATTTTTTCATAATTTAAGTATCCATTTATTGTAGGTACACGATAATTTCATTTAAATTAACTAATAATGTTTAATATTTATTAACTAAAACGATTTAACATATACATATATGATTTTTTCATTAAAATTTGTTTCTGTATCATATTGAGGTAATCTTGAACTCTCCATAAATCTGTAAAGAAACACATTAAATTGCTTTATAAATGAAAACACAAAGTAACATCTAAAAGCATGATCAATGAGATGATAAATGATGATAACGAGTAGCACCAACACATCAAAGTATCATCATCATCATTATTATATATACCGAATCTCGTGCAAGTGATAAACTTTTTTTTAAATTTCCAACTGGCCATAAATTCCTTCAATTCAATTGATTATCTTTAATAAATTAATTTAATTACAATATCCTAAATATATTCGCGAACGATAAGGTAATAAATAAATTCGCTTCCAATCATTAAAATCTCACAATGCATTACTAAACAGGATTCGTTCCAAAACTTTTTCTAAATTTGAATACATTTTATTTAATACTGGTTCAGTTACTTAGTGGGTCATAAATTAGTTTCTTTTTTATTATATACAATTTTCAAAACTTGTAACTGGCTAATATATTATATAACAACGGCCTGCCATAATCAAATTCTAAGTATATAGAGTATACTATGTATAATGTATTTAGAGTATAGAGTGTACGGTTTCATTTTAATACGTCGTTTCCTAGAAGCAATGTTCATGAATAGAGTGTACTACCAGTAATATTAAAATTAACTCTCTAACCTGCCTTTATTTTCCATAGAGACAATAATGGCTGTCATCCCTGAAATAAAAATGTATTTATAATAGGATATATATTATATATTCTAAAACCATTTAACGAGTTATGAATAAAATAAAGAAAATGTAAAAAACGAACACGAAATAAAAAAGAAAAATACATAATATAATGACAATTATTTTATCCGACGTAAAACCTAATATTACTTTTCTAATTGCATTCTTTAAAATAGACAACACTCAAACAGTTACATAACAAAAAACCATTTCAATTGATATAATCGTGAGGAATTAGAATTATTATAAGAAACTAGCTGACCGGACAAACGTCGTTTTGCCATGTATATCATTTATAATAAAAAAAATAGGGGTTGATCGTAGAGGGGTGAAAGTTAGGGGTTGTATGTATTTTTTAATGTTGTATCATAAAAAAATAAAAACAGAAAAAAATATTTAAAAAATAAAATTTAGGGGTGGACTACCCCTAACATGTAGGGGGATGAAAAATAGATGTTGGCCGATTCTCATAGATACCGGATAAGCACAAAAAATTTCATCAAAATCGGTCAAGCCGTTTCGGAGGAGTATGGCAACGAAAACTGTGACACGAGAATTTTATATATTAGATATAATAGAACAAATTTGCCACCACACCCACAAAGTAAAGTTCGTCGACGAATCTCTAATGCTATGGTTCAATATTAACTCAAGGCCCAGAACTTACGAAACTACTTATCTAAATCTGAAACATTTTTGACATACCTACAGGAGTTACACGTCTCCTTTCTGAACTTTCAGGTAATATTGAAAACCGCTTAGGTAATATTCAATAAAGTTTAATGCTTCTATTAATTAATAACGATAGGTACGTTTTTTACTAAAACCTTTACAGGTTTGCTTTAAACGTAATATTGGGATGTTGTAATAGTATCGAAAAAGACTATAATGTAAAGTAATTTAAGAAACGATTACGCGTTATCTTTCGTTTTTTTTTACGTTCTCCCTAGTCAACTTACGTGGGCTTAACATCTTGCTTGCTTTGCATTAGAAGCGAGAGGCCAGTTTTTGATGTTCTCTTATTAGGAGTACCTCCAGGCCAGGCTTCTCTATTCAGCATGTGATCTATATAAAATAATTGATTAAACAACAAATGTTTGAATAAATTTTTTGTGTACAGGAATTTGATAATAATTACATTCACAATTGACTCGATAGATGTCGCTGCAGTTCTTTATAAATCCAGTCTTAGACTCATTTGTTTTTAATAAAAAAAATTACAGCGAAGTAGGTGATTAACTTTACTGGTCTGACAGTCGATTCTTGATTCTAAGACATCACATTTTCCTCACGATCATGGCCTTTGTTTCACAATGATGGCCACTACCATTAGTGCACAGCCGAGCAAGGCACGATTGAAAGTACATAGATCACTTAAGTCTCAAGACCAACTTTAGGCGTTTAAAATAAATAAGTACATATTTTTAATATTATCTAACAATTTTACTTACTTTTAAAAAGATTTGCCGTTCTCTTTCCGTAATCTTGTATGGCTATCTCTGGATATGATTGAGGAATTCCAAAGTAGTCTAAATAAATGTTTAATTTTATTAAATATTTAAAAATACTTAGAGACAATAACGTTCGTGTTTCCTGAAATTTTGTGTTTCTATAATTGTTGATATATGCACTAACTCCAAATTTGCAGAAATATTCACGTCTCTACGTATTGTTCATTGATCTTTTTATAGTTATAATGTGCTCAGTCTTCTGTACCGCCCTACCAGAAAATATTATTTTATCGCTGGTAATCGAACCTAGGACTTACGGGCTAGACATGTTATACTAACCCACACAGATGAACACTGCTGTTATTCAGTCAGTCATATGTTTCTCTTTAATTTATGGTAATTTAGTGAAAGACTGTGCTTCATTTCTACTTTACAAGAACAATTTTCTTCGTTGTAAAATTAACCTAATAGGGTCGTTAATATTAAATATAATTTCATTAAAAAATTTAATCACGGCTATTATGAAAACTTACACAAAAATGTCCGATCGTCGTAAGGAGCTGGTGCTATGTCATCGGACCTGCCGCGTAAATAATCTGTAATTTAAAATATTTTTTTAATTTCGTATACATTTTTCTTTATAATTTAGCGTTGTGTATTCTATTCTGACCTAAAATATTTTTACCCCATATCGAACCCAACATATCATTTATTCACATATATATCTATTCACAATTAAGAACAAAACTTAATTTACTATCAATTATCGAATTCTATACTCACTAATACACTATACTCAAAAAGAAATGAGATGTAGGATCTTAAATCGTAATAAACTCGACCACTCCTTTTAATCACCACCTTTTATTTTTACAAGATCCTGTAAGGAGCAAGCCTTACATATGACATTGTCATCAAAGGAACAGATACGGTCAGTTCAAACAATAATGTTGGGGTTCTTATAGTTATAAAGTAGATTCGAGTAAGTATATGTATTATAATTGTATAATTGTAAAAATTATAGGAAATGGCGTCAAATATAAGTAGAATAGGAAAAGCAGCACCTGCGTTCCTCCACAAGATCATCAAGCATTATCCATATCCAATAATACACAATATTGCAATCATGTTTTTATCCATAACATTTCTATTATTCTAAACGTTTTCTTACTTTATGATATACATGAAAACATACCTTTGTAGTAATTAAAGCCATCTCTGCCCAAATCCGTAGCTTTCGCAGTGAGGAGTACAGCAAGGAATGCCATAATGGATACTAATGTGTGCCGCATTGTATGAAGACTGATGACACTGGAACGCGATTAACTGAAAGAAAAGACGTGCTGCTCTTTTTATAATAGCTGTGTCTTATAAGCTCAGTGGTATTGTCCAATGTTTAGTTTAGGTTCGATTTCCAATACGATGTTCAGATATTAATGACTAAGGGAATCTAAACTTAAAACCTGACAAAGTGTCATTAATATAAATATTCAGACTTCATTTAAATTTTATGTTTAAAAATAAAATAAATTAATCAGTGGCGCTAAAACTTTTTTAGGTCTGGGCCTCAGATTTCTGTTGCTGTTTTATGATATTTTGTCAATCTAATAGGGATGTAGGTGATCAGCCTTCAGCGCCAGCGTCTGACACACGCCGTGGACTTTTTGGGTCTAAGGCAAGCCGGTTTCCTCACGATATTTTCACCTTTCAAGCGAATGTTAATGCGCAATGCACCTCCGACCTGACGGATGCGAGTCGCACGCCACTAGGCCAACACTCTTCTTTTTTTTATGTTTACCAATTTAAAAAGAATCGTAAATATATTAGTTTTTGTGTATATTTCACTATTATTATAATATACGAGTACCTATACTTCTACATTGCATGTTGTATTTATTGTGAAAGTTTGGTCGCTGGTTACACTTTTACCATTAAACATAAATGCTGATTACTAAAACATGCATAAGCGGTAGAACTTAGTTGAAAAATGTTCAATTCATAATATGTTCGTTTTACTCGCGCGCAGGGACATTGTATCGTAACAACGCGCAGGCGACTTCCCTGATTTGGTAACAAATACACCGCCTTGATATATCGGTGTTCGGGCATACTGCTGTACCGTGGTTATTGATTATTTTATAAACTTATCTAATTCTGTGGAACCACTTGCATATGTGGCGGATAATATATTTGCTCTCCTAAATGAGCTCATGGGAACGCCTCAGGGCAAACGACAAAGAGTTGAGAGCAGTCCTGTCAACAATTACTTCAAATTTAGAGCATCTATGCCCAATTAAACTGGCTCATGTTTCGCATTTAATATGTATTGAGTTGATTATTATTACTTAAAACTAATTTTTTGATTCTCCAATTGTATCTCCAAAAAAATTAGTTTTCCTAGATGTACCTTGTACGCAAAAAGATTGCGGAGCACTAGCCTAGATATCACGGTTATACCAAGCGCATTATTATGTAAAAAAAACTTTTTATACTAAAACGCAGGTTAATATATTTCAAGAAACGATATATACAATAAAATGTATTGTCTATTAATAAGTGAAGCTACATTTCTCGGATAAAAATAAATTCCATATTAAATATTGTAAAATATATTTTCTCTGTAAAGTATTGCAGGTAACCTGTCTGTGGGTGGTCGCATGCAAACGACATGGATAGCTGTGACCTGTATTGTAAAGGAATTGGAATAGCAAAATGTTGAATCTATTTTTCCCTCTTCACGTAATAATAATATCGAGATGTATTTCAAAATGTGGATATTTTCAATTTTCATTAAAGATTTAATTCCCGGAAAAAACACTCGTTTTAAGTACTCTTGCACGCCATATATGTTATATCAGAGTGTGGCTGTGTGTATATATAACTTGAAGTTTAACGGAACGGGTTTTCAGTCCCATTGGAAGGCTACAAACTTCACATCATTACAGCATATTTTATATGAAATGAAGTAAATGACCTACATTTTACAAGACAAATACATGTACATAACTAAATTATATACAAACGATAATACCGAGGTTAAGCAAAAGCATTATAATCACACAAATTCAGCGTTTGAAGTATTAGAACAAAGCTCTCGTTGAAGAACTCCCAACGAGAATATTCAGAATTCTAGAGACACTTGAAGCTTTCTACAAAATGAGCGTCACTTCCACACTGCACTGTTGCTAGTGAAAAACGTTTTCCCAAAACGTACTTTGGGAGCATTGAAATCTCTGTTTTAGGTTAAGTGGTAGGAAAAGAACTTCGTAATTATGGTGTTTGTTCCATACTTTAATATTTTATTTCAATTCTCATGTGGCTCTATAACTTTTAATGTAAAAGAAATATATTATTAGAAATCTACGTCTATCTATACTATCATCTACCTGTGGATGGAAGAGAATCTCTTTCTCCGATCAGACTTGCCATTGACTGGCCAGGCTGATGTTGAGATTGTTGTATACATACTTAGCGGTCGGAGAACTTTGTGCGATTCAGGGTATACGTCATCGTACTGATTGTAGGTAAACTCACACTGCAGTAAAAAGATGATCAATATACGGTCAGGTGAAATTACTTAATGGTACAAAATGATACGCTAGTGAAGCCTCCCAAGACGATAGTTCTTTTCAAAAGATATTGTATCTTTTAAAAGAACTCTCGTGACTACACTTCTTGAGAATCCCGATAACTCTCATATTACTCATAAAGATAAACAACTCCGAGTAATGACACCTTGGGCTACGAAGAATGAGATGGTAAGCCATTAAGTATAATGGGGTATCATTAATTGAGCAATGTTGCAATGACACCAGCGACTACCGGCATGCGGGGACGCATACAACGCATCTTTAGTATATAAACAGAATCTCGATAAGTATTCATTCCCATCACCACATAGCACTAAGCTCTAGTTAAATTAAATCTAGTCATTTTGGATATTATATAATTAAAAAGTCTTTTAATAAAGTCTTTTTTATATCTCACTAGTTGAGATATTTTGACTTGCTGATAAGTTTTGACAAGTTTACCTGTCTGGAATTTAACAAATTTATTCAACTATTGATTTGTACAAGCTCGATAATCCGTATCGAATCATTTTAATAAAAAAAAGGTATTCAGGTGGTTAAAAAAGTAAGCTAAATCAAAACCAGCACCTTTGTAGAGGTTAATATAGATGTTATTATCAATTATGTTAATTAATTATATTTATAACAGTTAGTGTTGTAAGTTTAAAGTGTGCGAACGACTAAAAAATTCTTCATAGATTTTACAAATTATGTGATATCAAATGAGTTGCTACATTAGTAGGGGAGACCGGGTACAAAAGTAACGGCGGGTCGAAGTAACAAATGCTCTCTAGATTCATCCAATGGGCGAAAACAGCTTCGCCGCCGTCAGGCGATAGCTGAGAGTGCCCCCTCACTTGTAGTTAGTCGCCGCGTACTCCACGCACTGTTAGGTTGTGTGAGAGGATACTACGTGTTTTTACAAACCAAAACTAAGTTTTTCGATATTTTGTTATTTAATGTTTACATAGTCGTAAAAGGATGGTAGTAATCTGAATGTTTGCATATCTATTTTTGATTAGATTGATTGTACATTGTTTAAATTTGTTTTTGTTTAGCACGTTCCGTTTTTAAGTTATATTTCATGTTTCAACAAAAATGAGGAAGGGTAAAAAGTAACATAGTCCTATGGGTACACAAGTAACAAACAAAACTAGCAAGATAGTTGCTCAAAAAGGAACTACACAAGTAGGTGCAGTAACCTCAGAACGTGGAAGATTAGGAACTGTTGCTGTTGCCATTAATGCTCAAGGAGGACACATACCTCCTTTTTCGTATTCCCATTTAAACAATTCCATGACCACATGATTCTTGAGGGTCCTGTTGGTTGTGCCGGAGCTGGCAATGCTAGTGGATGGATGCAGAATGCAGAACTTTTACTTTTTAAATAAATAATTGTTGATTAAACATATAATATTGTATTAATTACCAACCTCTTCGTCTTGTTACTTTTGACCTGCCTACGTGGTCGAAAGTAACAACTGATGATTTTTTTTAACTCTCTGTTATTCAGATAAAACACACCATAGTAAAAAAAATCGAGCTGCTAGTGTAAAGAACATAAACTGAATTTATATATGGTTATATTAATTTAATGACAATATTAAGACCTGGCCACAAATCAAGTGTGAAGTACAAAGTGTTACTTTTGTACCCGGTCTCCCCCTAGTACAAAATTCTACCAAAGATCTTTTTATCTAATCTCCTCTGTAAAATAAATAAATAAATCAGTGGCGCTACAAACTTTTAGGTCTTGGCCTCAGTATCTGTTTCATAATCATTTGTTAATCATAGGCAAGTAGCTGATCAGCCTCCTATGCCTGACGCACGCTGTCGATTTTTATGTCTAAGGCAATCCGGTTTCCTCACGAAATTATCCTTCACCGTTTGAGGGAATATTAAATGCGCAAATATAAAGAAAGTCCATTGCTGCACAGCTGGGGATCGAACTTCTGAGTCGCAGGCTGAAGCCACTAGCCCTACACTGCTCTATCTATATCTAATCTATTTATTCCGTAATAATTATTCACAAAGCTTAATTCACCCTAAAACTGCAATATCGCGGCTAGGTATCTGCGTTGCAAATACTTGACAAGTGACGCAATATGTACTTAATAGGATTTTACTTAAGCCTCTTGAGACGATTAGATTTACCAATGGATCTAATTGTCATAGTATTTGCGGTATCGATTTAAGCTTATTGCTTGTAGGTATTGTTCCATTAATAAGTATTATTTCGGTAGTTATCTTTGAATCTTTATTTCTACTGAGTTTGATACATAATAGGTGAATTCTTCGTGTGATTAGCAATTAAATATTAGTACGCCAATTATAGTTACACATTTTAATAAAACTTTTAATGATGTAAACACAAATTATATTAATTACATTTTATATAAATTATATACTATTAATACGAAAACAATGGTCTGCAAAATCAAAGTATGTATTTCCGAACCAATTCTCGCACTCATATTATAGTATAAATAATATTAGTATAAATGCTAACTATGATTTTATATAAATTATATACTATTTCTTATGCAAATTACGCCATCTGTACATTATTGCGCCATTTAACAAATCAGCGTCGTTTGTTACCAATTATTATAAAACAGTTAGCGATATTGAATTCTGCTATTAATTTAATTATTGGATTTATCATTAGAATGACTATTGAGAGTTACAGAGTACGGACACAGATTAGCGTTTTAAACAGGGGA